TGCATTTTTTTAAACTGAAATAATTTAGTTTTTAAAAGGAATCTAACATCAAATAAATTGCCATTTACATTTTATTTTTTGCAGAAATTACATATTCAATGATAAAATATTCAAAGATAAAAAAAAAGCCATGAATTACACTTTTTATTTTTTTTTCCATTTAAATGTTAAAAAATAGCAACAACATAATCAATAAATCAACATAAATCATGCATTTATTAATACTAAAATAATTTATTTGTGGTCAATTTCAAGGAAGCGGAATCAAAAGTTTCCAGAAATTTAATCCAAGTATTGGTAAACCCCACAAACAATGAGTTTACAGTATATGAACATCAAATTATTATTATTATTTTTTTTTTTTAGAAATTGAGAGGTCTACAATCGGAATTAAAGGGTTTGGATGGGGTTGTCAGTGTGTTTGGAGGATTGTGGTGTATTTGCAAGTATTTTTTTCACCAAAAAAATCAACATTTTAACCAAAAAATAGGTTCTTATAAATATTTAATTTTCTTATTGACCAAGTGAGTCAATCACGATTGAATTGTTTGGTTTTCTACAGTGTGTTTTAGGAGGTTTTTGGGATTTAGCAATACTATTTGATCCTACCATAATTACTTTACCCTCACAATTACACGCCACTTTAATTCTTAGCATAATTGCCATATTTACATAACTATGTATATAATATAGTATCTCAGTTTGTATTATTGCTGCGAAGCATCCAATTCATATTCTTGACAGAAGTTTGACCTCTGAAAGGTCATTGTTTGTAAAAAATCAAGGGCCTAAGACGACTGAAAAGCGGAGTTTCCTTGTTTCGTTCTGCCGGGTAAAATCAATTACTTTAGGCGACGTTTGTAGACTAACCAACACGTACCAACGTTCGCATGTCGCGCTAGCCTTATCGTACTCTAGGCCTAGACTAGCTAGGATGGTATAGGCCTAGCCTTGAAGGGACGAAGGTTCCAATGAAAAACAACGTCGCTCCTTGATAGCTACATTGTCTATTTAACATCACAATAATTCATTATTAGACCTATAGTTGTTTTTTGAATTGTACTCCACAAATCTCAGCCGATACCTCGCACAACTCAAGTAACGTCTCGTATCTATTGTCGTGATGTCATGGCTCGCTGGCTCACACTTGCGATGTCTCGCACTTGTGATCAAATAACAGGCTGGCTCGCACTTTGGCAACACTCTTTGGCAGTCAACTCGCCACTAGAAAACCCGTCCTTGGAAACTTGCCTCATAAAAAAATGTACACTTCCTAGACCATGCAGTCTTCAAAATAAAAATTGTAACCTTTGGTAATCAACTACATTTTCCACATACATAGAAATTTTTGAAACTTTATTAAAAAAAACCTAAACCATTATTCACCACTATACACTTTTTGACAAAAATGAAAAATTACGACTTTGTTACCCAATGAGAAGTGTTCTAATATAGACAATGGGTCGTGTCTCATATTATTTGTTATATTTTTTATTATTCATTATTTTCACTTGATTCGCATAAATAATTTTGTTCGAAGAATATTTATATGCAGTTGTACTTCGCAGTACTTCACTTGCAATTTGCAATTTCTAGTTTAGTATAGTTTTAGGCACTTAAATGTACTTGGCAGGGAGTAGAAACAAAGTATGCAATTAAATAAGTTGCTTAAATAAATGTATTCCTAATTATTCAGTTTACTTTAAAAACAATATTTGATTATCAAATACTTCTTTGAAGTAACTCTAAGCAGAACATTTGTTGAAGTAACCTAAGCCTCCCTTTTCCCATACATGAACTTGTCATTCAAACACACAATTGATCCACATGCTTTAACTAACTGTTTATTTGCACTGTTTATAACATGTAAAGTTATTTCTTTTGATACTTTAACAAAAGTGAATTTTGTGGTTATCTATGAGTTGCATATTTTGGTAGTTGAAGTACTGTATACATGTCATTCCTCTACTTTGTTAGTGGAATAACATTTTTAAAACTTATTTCAACTATCAAAAAATGTTCAATGGCTGTTGTTTTCTGATAATCTCTCAGTACATTATTTGCATCTGTTGTGTAACTGTATTTGTTATTGATTCAATTCTTGCTTATTACAGTATTTAAATATTTGAAGATTAAAAAAAAAAATATCATTTCTATAATACTGAATTTTTTCATTGGGGCCATTTTTACCTACTTGTCATTTGGGGCCATTTTTACTGGGGCCATTTTTACCAGGGTCATTTTTTCCGGGGCCATTTTTTCCTGGGCCATTCTTACCTACATTCACTGCAAGCACCACACAATGTGTGTGTCCTCAGTCTCCCATATGTAGGACGGGTAACAGATAGAATTACATTTAGTTTCAAACTCTTTATATTGTAGCTTCAAATACTGTATTTTTACCACAAAAATCAACTTCATCTAATTTAGAACCATAAGAAACTTCCCTTTTCCCAAGGTATTCATTTCACAAAAATTTCCTCCAGTAAGTTTCTGGTCAAAATTATTGCAGTTTTATTGCTGATGGTAATGGTACAGTAATTGTTGTCTATGAATATGGATCCTTCATGGATTTTCCGGTTCTACTGTAATCTGCTCGGCTGTAACATTAACATTAGTGGCAGTGATAATTGGTTGTCGTCGTTACTGAAATGTAGTGCAGAGCAATAAAAGCTTGAAATTTTGCCAAATATAAAGTTTACTCTGGTATATTTGAATACAACAAAGAAAATATATTCTCTAAATTGATGACATAAAGCTCGTAAAAACTAACATGATTAAAGTCGGAGAAATTTATCGCGTGCTTATTGATGTAGGATTGTCTACTGAGCAAATATAACCGGCAGTAGATTCATAAAACTTGTTAACCTAGTAGTACTACATTTCTTTAAAAATGCATGATAATTTGAACTGCACTCATGAAACGATACCCAAATATTTTGCTATTGCTTGATCGTTTCAATGTTGAATCTGGACCTCTTGGGAAAAGAGTTACTTGTGTATTGAAAGAGTATTTCCAGAATAAAGAAATATTTGAATTGCATTTGCTTGGTTTGTATAACTAAGTCTTCTCAGATAAGGACTTGAAATGGTAGCTCTAGTGTAGACCTACACATCTGGTTGTGTGCACTTTAAAGAACATCTTTCTTTGGAAGAATAGGGTTTACCCTGATGTTAATGTTCACATTAGCCTCTGACATTCTGGAATGATGTGAACTGATGTGAACTAATTAAGCACAGTAACGCTACGATTTATGCTTGTTTTTTGCTGTGTCTGTTTTTGTAAATAAATGAAATGAAATTTACCATCCTGATATTTGTATCTCACTACTAAATTTCATCGTAGTTAAGCAACCAAGTATTGTACAGTAGTTGTTAACCAATACTGTTAGATATTTTATAATGTTCATTTACTGTTGCTTGTACTTACTGTATTGAAAAACACTGCCTTTGATATGGGTTGTAAAAATGAAATTTAGTGCGTTGTTAACCACAGTCTTAACATCAGCATCGGTTGTAGCTTCCCCTCGCGTTGATAGGGTGAGGAGCGTGTTCTATTGATTTTTTTTTAAAGAAGTTTGATTCAATTATAAATTTCTAGGTTTTTAGTCTAAATTGCATTACTATATATGTCCTTTTAAATCATTTCTAGTGATGATTAGTTTTTAAACATTTTTATTTTAAATAATTAAGGAAAGTTTTCTGTGATGAGCTCAACAAATATAATTCAATATTTGAGTTTCTTAAATTTTATATTTATTTATTTTAATGGGCAGTTCTATTTTAATTGATTTTTTAGGAATTTTTCTGTTTCATCAGAGATAGTACCTGGCTATTAGTATTACTATTAAATGAATGTTGGGATATGTAATCAACTTGATTGACGGCATTCAAAGTACATTTAAATTAAAAGTGCAGTAGTCGGGCTGATGACTATCTTATCCAATCAAAATCACAGGCATGTTCCTCGTTGGCCTCTTTAGCAAAAATATGAATTTCATGATGTTAAAATACAGTTTAAACTGTAGTTGATGATAGTTGCACTCCAGTTATTAGGAATTTATTGTAATCTATGCAATTAAGTGTTGTTCTTCTAATGTAGTATTTATACTATTTGCAAGATTAACTATACATTATCTGGAACTCACTTCAACCAAGTCTGGAATTAGGATTACAGTAAATATAATTTTATTACTATTCATTACTGTAGCTATGTGAAATTTAAGCAAGTAAAACGAATAGTGTAGAGTACTACATGTACACATACTGTTATTACAATTTAGAAACAGGGACTTGACTAATACGACATGCCTTTTATATGCCGTATAATAATAACTAGTTCTGGTAAAGTGATACCTTCTTTAATCATGGGCTTTATTCATGGCTCTGATAAACTAAAAGTAATTTACAAATTGATCTAAAAGACTTATTCTGGATTAAGGCGCTGATTTTTCTGCTGAATAAGTTCTCATTTCTACAGAATAGAGTTTTATGAAATTAATTCTGGCTAGGTTTAGACTAGGTGGATAAACCCGGCTCAACTCACCGGGTTTATCCACCTGCCAGTCTGAACTAGGTAGCGTACCTCCAGCCGGGCTGTGTTCCTATAGTAACTAGGCCTGGCGTGCCACCGTGTTTAACTTTCTAAGCCGGGCTTTAATCGCTACAATGTCTCTGGTTGAACTTGGGTAAAAAAATGACTAATCACCATTCAAACACATACCTAGTAACTAAAATAATTCTGTATCAATTCATGATATGTATTAAATGATGAATACTGTCATACATTCATTACAATAATTTTTCTTACAATGGTTGAGTTATTTAAGTCAAAGTACCAATGGGAGGAGGTACTTGTAAACTATTGGTTCAATCATGATTTAAAGTGTTTATCTTGAAATATGTTTAAAAATTCTATACCAGTATTGCATATTTTATATAAAGTCAGTGCATTTATAGAAACACTTTTTAAATCTGTATATTTGTTTTTGGTTTTGCAGGTAGTTGACTAATGATTACTCTGCTGTATATTTTTCAAGCCTAACAAATGGAGGACAATTCAAGTAATTCGTATGTTACTGGAAAGAAGTTGTTTGTTTTGTGGGTGATATTTCTTCTTTACCTCCTTTTTGGTGGCTTAATTTTCAGTGTGCTAGAGAAAGGCAATGAGGATATTCAGAGAAAAAGAGCTAGAATAACGAAGAAAGAGTTCATTTATAATTACACCTGCTTGGATGCTTCATCTTTGGAAGATCTCATTTCTACCCTCCTTGAAATCCAGGCTCAGGGTGTGGATCCCAGGGAAAATGTAACTGGCCCATCCAAATGGGATTTTACAAGCTCTTTGTTTTTTAGTGGCACTGTGGTCACAACTATTGGTAAGTTAAACTAACAATATTTGAATTTAAGCCTACTAGGTAAAAAATATTTTATTAATACTTTTCAGAAGAGAAATTATTTTTTGTGAGCCTTTAGGGCAGTCAAACCTCATTTCAACCAGGGCCCCGAAATATCAACACAGAAGAATATGTCACAAACTAACAAAAAGAACAAATTAAAGAAAATTGTATTCCATTACTTTTAATATTTGGAAGAGGAAGAGATGAAAAATTTTAATCCTGAAATATGGTAATGTCCCATTTCCCTCAAGCCAAACAGTTCTCAGCATGTTGGGGGTGCAGAGATGGTTCATATAATATGACCTTGTAGGTCATTCATTATTCCAGATCATCAAAAAAAATCTTAACAATATACAATTTAGAGATCCAGATGAATCTTTTCACTAATGTTCTATTTATATAGAGTACCACAGTTGTGTCGTCACTACAGCAGGTGGCACCCTCTGGACGTTAGTTACTGTTCATTACGCCTGAATGACTTCATATTCTTAATGGTTTAGAATAGGCTTTCTGGAATAGGCATTTTAAAACCTAATAATTTACCATCAAAATGTACTAAAAACACAAAAAGTTTGCATTAGATTAGTTAATCAAACACACATTTAATCATCAATTAACATTTTTTTTTGCGTCACATATTTCAAATAATCAAAAGGACTGTTCCACTAAGTCCTGCTGTTGGGAAAATGTTGCTAAGATCCCAAAAACAACAACCATTCGTAGAGAAATGCGTGAGTGTGGATTTTTGAACATGGTGTATTCCTGGGCCTGCCTATGGAATGTCAAGTTTGATTGACCTACTCTGTAAAGTTCCATTAACAGATCAAGTTCCAATCAAACCTCATATTTACAGTATGTACACATTGGAACCAAGTAGAATGGAATTACAGTAATTTCAGTTAGGTTGAAGAAGATGTGAGGAACCATGGGGCTTGGATGGATCTTGTGGAGATAGATTTTAAGGGCAACTGATTTTTTTTTCATAATTACTTGCATGACCCATGACCCAATTGTAGTTATTGTTGCATTGACCGGCTTTCTTAATTGCTCTTCCTGTGGGTTTTATTGTCACTAAACTGCATGTTAAGTTTGTAATATTAACATCATAAGTATGTGCTAGGTTGTATGCTGGTTATGTCTCTTATTATACACTTGAGTTTGAAGTTGTTTGTGTTATTAAAATGATCAGCTCCACAATGAATTGTTAAAACCAGACACAAGTCTGCTCTACTGCTTAATTGCGTGCCAAGTAGTTGATTGAGTATTTGTAAATTCTTTTGAGTATACCCCGAATCATGACTCGTTATAACAATAATGAAGCACAGTTTTGATCATTATGTTTGAATATTATTAAATTTTATAATTCAGTATGTGAATTCATCAAGGCTCGATGACAACCATTGCATCTATGTGAGCTGATTAATAAACTTAAGCCAGGGGTGCTACTTAGGGCCTGTTTCTACTGGAAAAAAAAAATCGATTAAAAATTGCTTTTTTTTTAAATCGCTTTTTTTTCTCGCAGTAGAAACAAGACACACTTGAAAAAATTGATTTAAAACCCACACAATGGATAGTGTGTTTGATGGCAAATAACCGATTTTGGTTGTGTACTTTTTAGCTACAACACAAAAAGTGATTATCAGGTGAAATATGACCTCCAGGTCAAACCACTGCAAAGCTAGATCGTATCATGAGCGAACTTTCAATTAGTCCTTTTGTTTATGTCCTAGGCTTACAAGCTAAAACGTCAATAAATGAAATTACTCGTTTTGTAATAATTTTGTAAGGGGATATTCGACCTAGGCCTCACCGCTCTTCTGGGCCTACTGTTGTCCTTATTCATGTGCTTGTTCGTTGTGCCGATGAGCACAGCCGGAAACATTCGCTTTCTTGCCGCACATCCTATTCTCCTCATCATCATGACTGGAATTTACATAAAATATATAATGTCTTGGTGAGAAAGAAACTATACAGTTTGGAAATCGTGTTATAGTCATGATGGTGACGTAATATCCGCCACGAAAACCAATTTTCGTAAAAGCAAAAATGCATTAAAAAAGCGGTTAAAAAATTATTTTGTGTTTATCAGTTTCCTTGTTGTTGTGTTTCCTTGGCAAGGTCTGAGACACTCGCATAAATTTAAAGGTAGTTGAGCACAACGGATTTTATTCTGTTAAATAATTTATTTTAAAAACATATAAAGTAAAATTATGAATAGAAAAAATGTACTTTTCTTCACGTTCACATTCATTCTTGCAATTTTTAATCCTGTGGCAATAATGGTCCTGTAGTGGGACTTGTAGCCACGAAACCAATGACGAAGACAATTCTGGTTTTAACCTCATGGAGTTTGAATCCGATGCTGACCATATCTGGCCAGCCATGCTTGGATGCCAAAGCTTAAATTATTGACGGGCTGTGAAGTAGTTTACGCTATGTTTTGGATTTATTTGCAAGAGATCTGCAGCTCATGGTTATGAAAAGAAAATTTTGTTTAATTATTTATATTATTATTTAAATAAAAATATCAAACAATACCATAATGGCTTCTCGAGTCATGCTTGGGATGAAAACATTTTTTTTTTTGGTAAATGCTGTAGACATTAATTTGATTGAGAGAGGCACATTAACATGCATTATTATTATTATTATTATTATTTTAGAAATCAAATTTTCCTCTTCCTCTGTAGACATGGTTCTTTTCATATTTTTTTTTACTTAATTAACATATACCCTTAATTTCTCTGAATTTCCTAAATAATAAATGGAACAGTAGGGGTCACCATTCTCTATACTTGACCCCCTTTGTGTCCAAATGTTAGGGGTCCACATTCCCTACCACTTGACCTCATTATACTGAAGTAGTAAAGGATCATTATACTATGATTCAATTGAAAATAACAGTACATATTAATTTGACACATTTTATTGAAAATGGAAAAAATTCTTGTAGTAAACCACAGTGGCGGTGCTACGGGGCATGGGGGACATTTTCTCCCAGAAAATGTTCTTTCCCCCTCCTTCTCCCCATCCTCCCCCTCCTTCTCCCCATCCTCCCCTCCCAAAAAATGTTATGTATTTTCTACATATTGGTAAATTATCTACATTATAAAATCGATTACTGGTACGAGCATTTATAATGCGCTTTTTCCTTGCGGTTATAAAGCGCAGTTCCTTTCCCTGGTCATTGGGTCCATATGCTAAGTGTTGCTACTGGTAATCAGCGCAGGAGTAGGCAACCCCACCAGGTACCCATTTATACTCCTGGGTGGAGAAAAGCAATGCAGATAATGTGCCTTGCTCAAGGACGCAAGCGAAATGCACAATGAGGGGTTGAAACCCCAACCTCGAGGTTGGAAAACCAAACCGTTCCTGCTGCGCCAAACTGCTTCTACCTTAAATAAGCCAGGCTCCCTGGTCCACTTTTGAAGCATTTTTAACAACGCACAACCACACCTACCTCAGGCCACACCACCATGTTTCCCCTAAAATTTTACCTTGCCCCTCTACTACCCCCCCCCGATTTCAGACACTGGCGCCGCCACTGGTAAACTAATAATGTACGTAGAGTTTATGACGTATATTATTGGCTTACTTATACGGGAATTTGTCTATGTTCATACATCACAGAAACCAGATGGAACTATTTGAGCTTACATTTTATTCTTATGATGAGTAAAGAGTTTTAAAAGTTATTATCAGTTATTATATGTACATATTTAATATGATTCATGATTTTAATTGTGCTATAATATTTTAAATGCATGAAACAATATTTTGCAATAAGTGAATTGGCAATTGTACTGCATGATTATATCTCTGCTGACCATTATCCAAACAGTTGTTTTCTGATATGTTGATCAGTACATTTTCTTTTTTCTCAATTTTGTATATTGCATGCCACTGTTATTTTAAATGCTTGTGGTTGACATAGTATGTATTAACATAATCACTACAGTAACGCATGAAATGCACAATACTAAAATGTTTTGTAGTTTGGTTTTCTTCATGAATCATTCCTTCTCTACTGACGTCGTGGAATATTATCACATCATACTCTATGTGTTCATCCCGGTGGTTCAGCGTACAGTATTGTTGCTATAAAAACTTGTCTTGCGTTTTCCAAAAAAAAAAAAAAAGCAAAAGGTAAATATAATATTTCTGTTCAGTTTTTTAAAGTTTGGTAATTATAGCATTTCATTGATAAGTTTCTATTTTCTTGATAGCATTAATAACTTCCTTCTATGTAGTAATTTTTTTGTACTGTTTTATTACACTGGACTTATTAACATTAAATAGTCAAAATATGCTTTTTTCATCTTTATAGGAAATTGGATATTAACATATCTTATTTTAGTCATAAAATATTACCTAATTCTAAGTATGACTTTCAGTATTTTTTCCCTGCACAATTTTTGCTTTTAAATAGCCACAATTTGTTTGAACACTGGTGGGGGTATCAATTTTTAAACTTTTGATCAAACTACTGTAATGACAGCTTTAGTCATAAATTCTTTTTATTGTCTAAAAAAGACAATTTACAACCTTTTACTGAATAGCCAAATTGAATGTGCTTTTAATCCATAGAATAATAACAAACCTAAAGAAAAACAAAGGAGATTAAAATTAAATCACAGTTAAAACAAGCAGAGCATGATACTGTTACCAAATATTAAGTGTCGCAACAACACTTCAACCAATTTCACATCTTTCCATCACAGCCATTCCATGCACGTCTGGCTACCAATGAAAACAGCAAACGGCACATTTGCATGCTCTGCACATCCCTGGATACTCATATGGAGTTTCAATTTATGTTTATTTAACAGCAGAAACTTTTATTCTACAAATGAACACTATGGGTAATAAACTACTAAAATATATGTCACAAGTTGCAATGTGTAGGTATGCAATTTCTTCTGATTGTTTGAACAAAACAAAGACCATTATATTTTCTAAACCGATGATGTAATGCTCGT